AGTCAAGAAAAAAAGTTAAAAACAGTTAATACGCCTAGTTAAAAATATATTTAGGTTTATAAACTAAAAAATGTAAGTGCCAGTATCAGCATTAATGCCTTTAAGGCAGAGGTCTTCAACAGGGGGTCCGCGACCCCTAGGGGGTCCATAGGGGTACTGCATGGGGGTCGTGAAAGGTTTGGTTGATTAGACTTTTTTTTTTTTTATATTCCCCCTGCAATTTTTCTACTAATTGAAATGTGTTTAAATACACATTAACATGAGGCAGAAGATGTCTTTCAGTCATCAATGCACACATTCAGCGACACACAGGAGCTCTTTCAAGCTGGGTGCCGTTTCATTTACAACACCTTTCCCATCAATGAAGAATTAGAATCAGAAATACTTTAATAATCCCAGGGTGAAACTACTTTCGTTACATGACACCATTTTTAAAAGAGTGACCATAGCACCAACTTGATATAACACAATTTCATACAATATGTATAATTAGGGGGTCCCGGCTCCCATCTCGCCATCAATTTGGGGGTCCTTAGCCTGGGAAACGTTGAAGACCCCTGCTCTAAGGTTATGTTTCTTTCACTCTCAAGAGTGTTTTTTAAGATTTTCTTATAGAAGCACTTTTGTTATTCTTCTTAATATATTCGGGCAAGTTGGCATTACTTGTTATCACATTGACATTCATTTTTGCCATCAAAATATCCATATTTTTTTAATTTTACAAAGGTAATACGGTCTTGTCCTGGATTCCAATAACACTATTGGTTTGAAATGTAGATTTTCAAAATATTTTACTTAGTGCCCTATAAAGGGTTAACAAAAGGCTTGTTTTGTTTATGGAAACGCACAAAAAAAAAATAATTCTAGGTCAGATTTATGAAATAAGTACACTGAACTCTTACCTTTATTCCCTCTACTCATCAATTCCTATAGAGTGGAATCTATATGCAAAAAGGAGGTAGTGATGTGAAGGTTACACTGTGGTGGAGCTGTTACCAGCCTGATAAACTAGTTTTTCTTTTTTCTTTTTGCCAAAAAGAGCAAAATAAAAGGATGCATTTAGATGCAGGAGACAAGATTAAAATAAATTATAACACCAGAACATTCAAAAAAGCACAGAAACATACCTCTCCTGCTGATAGCTTAAATAAAATGCATCCCTGTTTTTATTATTAGAAAATACATATGTGATAGATTGCTTCTGCATCCATATGTGTTTTCATGTGTCTGAATTCACCTTGGCCTCGATGGCGGCTTCAGTGCAGGCTTGCAGCATGGTGAGGTGGTGGGCGAACACCAAGAACTTCAGCTGCTCTGCCTCCAGCATCATCTTGATGTAGTCCTTCACCGCTCCCGCCTGACCGCACATACACACAGGAATAGACACGGATGAAAGAGAGACACTGAATCCATCACTTCACTGCTCGGCCACACAGCGGCAAGATCAGTAAAGAAGTCAATTAATCACCGCTGCATCCTTTCTGCGGGATCGATTCGCTATTGAATGCTGGGGATCCTGACTTTAAAAGCAGCCGGCAAACACGGCGGCTGGGGTGGGCATTTGTCAGCTCGCAGATAGTGAGAGCAAATCAATAAGTCGCAGCTTGGCAATATGATCGGTGTGTGTGTGCTCTTTTGATTATGGCGACAATAGATGTGGGAAAATCCACGTATTGATGCTGGAACAATGAGAGAAAAACCATAGATTACGCTTAATCAAGTGTCTCAGATTTCAGTTTAAGTTCAATCTCTCTGTGTACCTGAAATAAAACAGACGCACAGATTTAACTGATTTTTTATTTTTTGGGGACACCTGAGATAAAGACGTGTAAAAAAAATAAATCAGCTGGTGGACATGACAAATAGCTGCATGTAGACAGGATCTACAGTTGGTTTTTGTCTTTTCTAATAGAAATCAACACAACATCAACTTCCTGGAACGGCTGGGTCTCTTCTCTTTCCCATTTTGAAGTTTCATGTTTCATGTCATGTTTATGCTCCAACGCAGTGGCGTGCACAGAATGTTTAAGGGGCAGGGGCAGAAAGAAAAAAAAGGACCCATATAGCGAGTCCTTGCCACTTCAGAATGCGTTTTGACTGCACTTTTGGAGTACGGCTGGGCGAAGTGAAGAGAATATAATATCACGATATATTTGGGCTATAATTGCAATAGACGAAATATTTCATGATATGTTTAAATTACTTTTAAAAGCGATAGAGAGCATAAAATTGCATTGATATAGTCAAAGTTTTGGTTTGAAATTGAAAAAATTTTATCTTAACCAGCTAAAAGCTTTTCACAAATAACGATGCCACATTATGTCAGTGAGCGTCAGTATTAGACCTTTAAAAAGATCCCAGCAACTAAACAGGAAACGAAGGAAAAACACTAAATAGGAGGAGTGGCGGCATATAGCTTTGAATCCTGAGGTTCTGAGTTTGAGCCCCACTCCCACAGACTGCCACTCTGGGTCCCTGAGCGAGACCCTTAACCCCATGCAACCCAAGGGGATGGGTTAAATGCAGAGTTCATTTTGTCGCTCTGTACTGGTGATGGTGTGATGACAATATAAAAAAAACAACAAAAAAAAACTATATAATACTACTATATAAATACTAAATAAAATGTAAAATAAAAAAGGGCTTGTTTGTGCATAATAAAAAAAAAAAAAGAAATTGACCTCAAATTCCTACAACAAAAGTTAAAATACTGCCAAAAGATCAGAGCATTATTAGAGCATCTTAAAACTATTAGCACTGATCTTAATGTGCTGGGAATTTGAAAGAAAGTTTAGAAAATGCTTGCAAAACCTCTGAACACATCAAATCACAGGTATTAGAGCATCTAAAAAAAAAAAAGATTTAAATAACATAATAAAAAGCGTCTGTGATTTCCCTCCATCTCTTTCTTTTTCTCTCATATGGGATCACTTTTTCAAACAACGAGGCCAACGTCATCGGCTTCACAGCTGATTTAACGTTTTAATTGGTGTGCGGGGAGACGCTGACATGCAGAGTTTACAACATTCTTCATTCTGCAGCGAATTACTTATTAGGTGGTGGAATAAATTTGTACTAGTGATGCGCTGGTGAGGCGTCATGAAGCGTTTTGACACATTTCCAAACTGTATTGAGACTGCGTCACTCAATACTGATACTTGCTATACTTTTAAAATCCCTACATGCAGCCTATTTGACAGACTACACTGACACTGGTAATACTATCATTTAAGCCATTCTATGCTATAGGCAAGGCAAGGCAAAGGCAAGGCAAATGTATTTGTATAGCACAATTCAGTACAAAGACAATGCAAAGTGCTTTACGTGATTAAAATATAGGAAAATAAAACAGAATCAAAGCAAGTAGGAAAAAAAATAACAATAAAAAATGCAGAAACAAAAAAAAAAATATGTTATGTTCTATTGCTTAATATCCTTGTTCATATGAAAACATGTTTGATATTTTTAGATGCAATCCATAAATAAAGTAAACATTTAGATGAACATATGAATGAGGATTATTGTGGACTAGCAAAAAAAAAAAAAAAAAGAACACAACATAAGTTCAGTAAGAATGGAAAACTAAATTTGAATGTAATTGGATTCAGATCACTTTGGTGATAACTGAGATGAAAATGGTCCCACACGGCTGAAACCTTTCTTTAGCCTTGAAGCTGCTCCATATTTCCTCAGAGAATTTTTAAATTAACCGCAAAAGAACTGAGATTTTCTTGGGTAAATGCATCCCGTTAACAGATGCGCTTTTAAACACAGTTTAGTGCCTCAGTCATTTTGAAACAGCGCCGGCATTGGTCACATGAATATCTTGAAACGATACGTGCACCGGCACAGGAGTTCCACCCTATTACTCAAAACATGCGCCAATGCATCGGTGTTGCTAGCCTTGTGAGACCATCCTGATCTCTCGAGCTTTCAAGATTTCACTCGCTAATCAGTCAGGAGACTCTCCGTAAAAGAAAATTTGGAGCAGTTCACCAAATGAACGTCCAATCAGCGTTGGCTTTGAGGCGGGTTGAGGTGTGACGCAACGAGAAGCGCGGCAGTTCAGTCTAAAGAACATGGCGACTTCAGCCGATGAAACTAGCGTTAGCGTGGCTATTCGAGCAAGTTTTATCGGAATTACAGAGTATTTCTCCACTGAAAGAAGAGCGAAACACTGCTCTGGAGGCTTTTCTCAGAGGAAAAGATGTTTTTGCTCTTCTCCCGACTGGTTTCGGCAAGAGTTTTATCTATCAATTGGCTCCTCTTCGTCGTCGCTCTGTTAGTACGTCATATGCTTCGTTGATCTGATTGGTTTATTTGGCCCGTTTATCACCAACATAGACCAATCAGCTAACCAGTATTTTCGCCCTTTCCCAAAATTACTTCAACGGAAGGTTTCCAGATGGATATGCGGAGCAAATCCATCTGGCAGAGTCAGCTTACGGTGTTGCTGGACTAATCACTAATTTGTACTGCTACCTTTTGCAGCAATGGTTTTGCGGCACATCTTATAAATAAGCGCCTTTAGTTCAACGTCCTAAGCGTGAAATCCAAACCACTGCCATATGTTGATACAGCTTTCATTTGCCTGTGTTCTGTCAGGTCAGCAAACCCGTCAGACCAGCATACCCTCAATAATACGCATGCACGTGCATGCAGAAAGTGGCATTTGAACGACCTCTGTTACATTTTCAGATCCATATACACTTAACTGTTTAATGACAATCTGCCAGGTTAGCTGCTACGTCCGGGTGTAAAATGGCAAACAAAGAAAGCCAGGCTGTCTGTGTTTAAAGCAGTTTGGCTTTAATTCTGTTTACCTCAGGATAAAACTTTTTGTTTATTACATCATGCATAAATAAACTAGCATACTTGACTTTCAGTGTGCTTTACCTTCAACTACAACTTTTTGTTTATCATATCACACCTAAATAAACTAGGCTAGTAGACTTCCTTTCACTTATAGTGCCAGACGTAGGCTAATCTGACGTCTTGCGCATGCGTGCCGACTATGGGTATGCTGGTTTGTGTGCGTGTCGCACAGAAAATAATCCTGTTTGGAGGTTGGGGTCTGTGATGGCTGCATGTACAACCACACAAATGGTCTGGTAATTCTTTCATTAAATCTTCTATTTTATTGTACTGTATTTCCTTTTTTTCTACTTTGATTTGGCATATGTTAACTATTTGGGTGCACACATTTAGTTGACTCATTTTGTCATTTCTTGCTTGTTTGGTTTCTGTACATTAATATATTTTTCATTTGAGTTGCCAGTTCCTGGGAGGCTGTCATGAGTGAAGCCAGAAAAGGAAAGGAGGCCCCAGCTGCAAAGTATCTCCTCATTGACATGGAGGCCTAGTTGGACTCTTCCACTTACTTTTAGAAGGGGTGTAGAAAGGGTTTAGGTTTCTGTATTTGGTTTTGTTTTCTATAAAATCATTTGGAAAGTTTAATATTTAAGTCCTCTTAGGTTCATCATAGGTTGCTGATTGAGTATGATGCTGATTAGTTTGGTCTTTTGTTGTAGTTTTCTTTAGGGAAATATATTTTATGTTTCCCTCTTGTTTCAAAATGGTCTGATCAACCAGTATATATATTAGTTTCCTTTGTGTGTCAGTTAGGTAGGTCTTTTTCTGTGTCAGGTTTGGATTATGTTGATTTTTGTCATTTGTTTTCCTTGATGGGTCCAGTCTTGTTTGATCTTTTGAACCTTATTTTTGCTAATTAAATTTGTTACCATTTTTTTTTATTAACCTCTTACACCCTAAGGGGGTATAAATAAATTTCTGCCTGACAAAAACACACAAAAGTAAATAACTTATAGCCTCACAGCTATTAGATTTAAGAAGAAACTTTTGGTACGCCTGTAAAGGTAAGATGTCATAGAATGGTTTTCTGGTGTCAGCACCATTGTAGCTTTGACCCTGCCTGAAATATTAGGGACAAAATACAAAATATTTTGCATTTTTTGAACCTCGCCAAAATTTTCTTTGAAATAAACATTGCAAAACACTACCAAAATATTATTTATAGCACAAAAAAGTAGTACAGACTTTTAAATCTAAATGTTGTGTAAAAATATACCAAATTTGGACTCAATCAGATGAATCATATTTATTTTAGAATGGTATTAGTGAGAAATTTCTTAGGCGGAGGGGTCATTTTGGCACTGGACCCACCGGTGGGTCCGTAGGGTTCTAGGGGTTAATGACTTCCCTGTGCTTTTCTGATTTTTTGGCTCGGTCCCTCACAGGGTCTATGATACATTCACAGTGTGTGGGAAAAATAAAACTCTCAGTGAAATAGATGCAGAAGGCTTAATGTCGTCATGTGGTTTTGCACTCAATAGTTGC